CTTTTTAAAGATGATTTTAAAATTACTAAGCGATGCTTAACTCTATTTACAAAAATCGAATCTGATTAGTTTTTAGCAATAATTAGAATCTAAATTAATTCTAAAAGATTTCAAAAGAGACAGAGGATAGAATTTTTACAGATTTTTAATACAAATATATAGTGATAGTAATAGCGATATCTATATCGATTTTTACGAATAGCGAATTTGTCTTCCAAAATTTGACATAATCGACCATTACATTTTCATATGAAAAAAAACCAAATAAGCAACAAATTTTTTTATAATTATTCGTCGTTAGAATTTTTTGCGCGTTTATTCTTTGAAATATTTATTTACAATTATTTACAAGTAATTTACATATTGCTTTCTTATATTATTTTCTTATATATTATTTTCTTACAAATAATTTACATACTTTTTTAAGAGATTGTCTTACAAATAACCAATTAATAATTTTTTTTGATAAAAGTAAAGCATTGTTATCTCTGTTATAAAATAGCTTATTACACAATAAATAGCATGAAAAACAATATTATTAACTTTTTTTTGCACTTTTTGGTGGTCTTGGAATTACTGGTTCAGGACAAAGGCAATCTTGTTTTTCTCTGACTTGAATGTGCTTTTGTACTTCAGCAAATAGATACCATTGCCTAGCTACACTTAAACCAGGAAGTGGGGTAGTTGCTGAACTTGGTTTGGCACCTTTTTTCGGATCTTTTTTCCAAATTTCAATCATATTTGTTTCTTTATTAATAGAACTGCTTATTTCTACTTTTCCTTTATGTTCATTATCAAAAATAAAGTGATGCTGTTTTAAAATATTTGGAACAATTTTGAAATATTCTTTTAACCATTCACTCCAATTATAGAAATATACAACCTGCTCTCCATTTTTGTCAAAGATTGTTTGCATTACATTATATCCATTTGTTATAGAATTTTCTACTACTTTAATTTGTGTGTCTGGCAATCATAAATGAATATGTAATTCTATCATGATAACCTATCATTACACGTCATGTTAAATAAGCTATCATTAAATTGTTCTTGTTTTGCTCAGAACAATTATCGGCATGGATAATTAAACGTTTTTCTCCTAGTCCATGCAAAAAAAATAATTGTGTACTAGTGAAATAACCACATCTGCTCCTTTTCCAAGCATTTCACTTTCTTTAATAAGATAATTCACCTAAAAATAATCAATAGTTAAAAATTTCAAATTGGAATTAAATTTGTAATAAATAACTCACTGTACGAGAAAATGCATCATCGCATATCCCAAAAACATGAATTTTGTAAAGAGACTTAAAAAATGTATCTCCCTAATAATAAAATATTGATTTTAAAATTAGTTTTTTAATAAAATCCAATAAAAAAAAAATTTAAAACAATTTACCTCTTGTTGTGATGAAGAAGGTAATTGAACTTATTGAGCAAAGTCCCAAAATAGGTGTACTTCAACATCTAAAGAATTAATTCTTCCTGGGCGAATTATATTTTCTTTACCAAGTCTTTCAACAATAAACTTAGCTCTTTCTATGCATTTTCTAAATTTATCAGTTAAAAGCATGAATTAAAAATTAATTTCATATTTTAAGATGTATAATAAACTTACTTGTAATATTCACGTTTATCATATGCGGCTTTAATATGTGTATTCCATTCAGTTACTTTTTGATCTCGCTCCTCTATAGTCCAATTACCAGCATTAAATCACATGGTTTTACATAAATAACATAGGTCACTTCGTGGAGTTAAAAACTTTATTTCGGGTGAGTAATTTTTCCAAACTCGACAAAAAGTACTTAAACTGATAGTTAATTTTTCAATACTTTCACATTGTTGAATTGCTATTAAATACTTCAGATGCAGAGATGAATAACTTTCAATAGCAGGTAAAAAAATAACTTCCATTATTTCACGTCTAAAATGTCATCCTAAGGTAAAAATAAAATATGTAAAAATGTAAATAAAATATAATTAATATAACATACCTGGTGACAGAAGACTCCATTTGTTAGCATAACTTAATATAAAACTAACAATTTTTATAATTGTTAAAAATGTGATTGTTCTATTGCTAGGCTTTCCAATAGCTTTATGAACCCTAGCTTTGATATCTTCAATAGAGAAATGGGTTTGTATATTTTCCTATCTTGTAGTTCCAATCCCATAAACAAATTTAAAAGCTTTCAAACAGATTTCTTTTGCGTTAAAAGAATAATCATAAACTGCCTTAACTAAAGATGGTACAGCAATTGATTTCAAATTTACAAAATGTTGCAACATAAGCTAAAATTAGTTGCAACATA